CCCCGCGACAGCCACTAATAAGAACACATGAAGGCAGTCGCACTAAATGAAGACAAATGTCGTCCGCTGCTCTGCACTCATAATCTCTCTCCCTGCTTCTCTCGGTGCTCGCTCGCCCCTCCGTCTTGCCTTCCTTCTCGTCCTCTCAGAGGTCCTGAGAAGTAAGGAATGATTCTGCAGTTTAGTTTTCCATTCCTAACCAGGTGGGATTAAAGATGGATCTATTTAAATCATCTCCTGTGTTTCCTCCGTTGAAATGATGAAGAACTGTGAGGAAACTAAAATCTGAATAAATCTTTATGTGAGAAGAATCTTTTAATGAAATCACTTCAACTTTATTAGACATCACAGATGAATCAAAGCATTTAAATAAACTCAGATATTTACGGCTCGTCAGTCTGAGACCACCAGATCCTCTCAGACCATCTGAGTTACAATAATCCAACTGAGATGTAAGAAAAATGTGGATCAGAGAGATAAAAATGATTTAACTTTAGACAAAAGTCTAAGTTTAAAAAACATCTCTTTACTACAGAACTAATCTGTTTCTCAAAGTTAAAATTTGAATTGAAGATCAGCCCCAAATTTTTGACATGACATTTTACAGATTGCTCTGAGGTACCAAGATGTATAACACTGATTAACGCTGGGTCCAAAAATAATGACTTCAGTTTTATTGTTGTTAAAATCTAAAAAGTTAGAATCCATCCAGGTTTTGACGTCAGTGAGGCAGTCAAAGAGTGGTTTTAATGAAGAATTATTCTGCTTTAGTTTAAAACAGATCTGGGTGTCATCTGTGTAGGAATGAAAAAGGATGTTAAATGTTCTAAAAATGGAGCCTAAGGGGAGCATGTACAGTATATGGAAAATAAAATGGGACCAAGGATGGAACCCTGGGAAACCCCACATGTGAGGGGGGCTGAGGAGGAAACAGAATTTCCAAGTTTTACAGAAATGCTCCTGTCAGACAGATAAGACCTGAACCAATCCAATGCAGAGACTTTGATACCACACTGGTCTAACCTAGAGAGTGAAATATTGTGATCAACTGTACTGTTCCCTCAGTTGTTCCTTAAGTTGTTCCCTCAGTTGTTCCTTAAGTTGTTCCCTCAGTTGTTCCTTAAGTTGTTCCCTCAGTTGTTCCTTAAGTTGTTCCCTCTGTTGTTCCTTAAATTGTTCCCTCTGTTGTTCCTTAAGTTGTTCCCTCTGTTGTTCCTTAAGTTGTTCCCTCAGTTGTTCCTGAAGTTGTTCCCTCTGTTGTTCCTTAAGTTGTTCCCTCAGTTGTTCCCTCTGTTGTTCCTTAAGTTGTTCCTTAAGTTGTTCCTTAAGTTGTTCCCTCTGTTGTTTCTTAAGTTGTTCCCTCTGTTGTTTCTTAAGTTGTTCCCTCTGTTGTTCCCTCAGTTGTTCCTTAAGTTGTTCCCTCTGTTGTTCCTTAAGTTGTTCCCTCAGTTGTTCCTTAAGTTGTTCCCTCTGTTGTTCCTTAAGTTGTTCCCTCTGTTGTTTCTTAAGTTGTTCCCTCTGTTGTTCCTTAAGTTGTTCCCTCTGTTGTTCCTTAAGTTGTTCCCTCTGTTGTTTATTCAGTTGTTCCTTAAGTTGTTCCCTCAGTTGTTCCTTAAGTTGTTCCTTAAGTTGTTCCTTCTGTTGTTCCCTCTGTTGTTCCCTCAGTTGTTCCTTAAGTTGTTCCCTCTGTTGTTCCCTCAGTTGTTCCCTCTGTTGTTCCTTAAGTTGTTCCCTCTGTTGTTCCCTCAGTTGTTCCCTCAATTGTTCCTTAAGTTGTTCCCTCTGTTGTTCCTTAAGTTGTTCCCTCAGCTGTTCCCTCAGTTGTTCCTTAAGTTGTTCCCTCAGTTGTTCCTTAAGTTG